TTGAGGGACACAGGAAGTCTTAAGCCTTGCGGGTTATACTGCCACCTGCATGAGGATTGAGCATCGGCAAATAAACTGTAGACCAGTCCATGATGACCTCTCCCACTACCAGCATACCTTTGTTTTGTGGCAATGCAGTACCAAGAGCAAGATCATAAGCACGAGAGGTGGGACCTATGTCCCTCAACAGACTCCAGGAAAGAAAAATTCCCCCTTTTTTTTTTTTTTCTTGTTAAGGAACACAGGAAGTCTTAAACCTGTGTCTTGTTATCCATCCCTAAGTTGAACTGCTTTTTGACAACCACTAGCAGGTTCCAGAAAGCTGGGGACTGCCTGAAGCTCAAAGAGCCACCTGGAGGACCAAGCCACATCCAGACAATGGAGGGAAACTGAACTTTTGGGAGAACAGGAGCGTTTTCGCTCGGTTTTCAACTAGTCTATGGCCTGCTTAAGACCACATGTACAAACACTTGTCTCTGAGGTAATGGCTATAAGAAACACCACCTTGTAGGTGAGGGTAAAGGCAGGAATATATTTATTGGGTTTAAACCGTAGTTTCTGAAGCACCGGACCAGATTCAGATTCCAGAGTCACAAGGGAATGGACGGGGTGTCCTATATGAAAGACTCCATGTGCAAATGATTAAATCAAAGAGTGAGTGGCCAGCAGTCTTTGAATAAGAGTAAAAAGGGCAAAAACCTGACAAACAAAAACATTGATAGTGTCGAGATCCAGGCACTGGCTCTGCAGGAATGAGAGAATATTTTCTACAGAGACACTGCTGGGGTGAAGGCACAGGCTGATGTCAAGTGAGATGCTTTTCATGTCTGACACAACCTGTGGGAAGTAGATTTTCTAGCATTTAGCAGTGTAATCCAAGATGCCCCTGTCCCTTAAAACCTGTACTTCAATATGTATGCTGTTAAAGGCAGTGAAAATGAATAGGATAGCAAATCAGTCCTTAGGTCAGAAATTCCTGATGATCCAGCAGAGCCCAAAGGTTAGGAGTCGTACCAGTTCAGTATACCACATTCCCCTCCTAGGCATGTCCAAAGCAATGAGAGTCACTGGAATACCCTCCAGCTTAGTCCACTGAAGCGGATGAGAAAGACGTTTCAGGGCAGGAATAGGTTAGAGTGTGCTGACCCTAAATATCCTCTAGAGCATCCGCTGATTCTGCTACAGATCCCTGTACCTGGAGATAAACCTGTGCAGTGTTGGAGTGGACCTCTTGGCGTCCAGGTTCCTAAACGGTGTTCCTAACTTGCAACCTCACTTCTGGGTGTAGGGACAATTCCCCCAAGTCCAGGTGCTGCTAGCTGATGAAATCTGACTGCCATTTGTCTATGCCTGGAATTTACAGGACTGACAAAGCTGGAGCCTGATGTTCTTCCGAGGTAGGATCCAACCTATCTTTCTTGCCACAGTGAGACTTCTGGTTCCTTCCTGATGATTACTGTATGCAACTTAGTTGGTTATGTCAAGTTTCTGAAATGCAAGCTGCCCAAGCATCCGGTTTATTACTGCCTCCCAAGCCCTTCACTCTGGCACTCCATAACGTAGGTGCACACTTTCATGCAGAGGAAGACTTCTCTGAGGATTTGGTATAGTTTGAGTGTCAGACCTTGAGAGTGGATGGAGTGCCAAGCTTTGAGGGAAAGAACTCCAGAAAGGGATTTTTTTTTTTTTTTTTTTTGCCAGTGTGCTATCCCCCTGTAGGTGCCAGTATAACCTGTAAGTTTGACTTCTTGTGTCCCTCAATGGACAGGAAAGAAACATAATTGAATATTTCTTTTTTTTGCTTAGAATATAATGTAATTTGCTAATGTTGCAGTTCACCATGTTGATTCACACAAAGTGATGTTTTATCTACTTCTAAGGGAAAAAAAATACCTGGTAAGGTAAGAAAGCTACTCTGTCAGGTTTAAAAAAACATTGAGAATAAAGTGCCTTGCAGTAGAAGAGCTCTTGTATTTTACCTCTCCTATACCCTGCGTCTTCTACCTCCTCTTTGCACTAACATGATAACCCTTTGTACAACTCTTTGGATTTTCATCACTTTCAGGGGTGTCCGATGTCTCAAATTCCTACATCCCTGCTGTGTCCTGTAGCAACTTGGGGATCAGAGAATGGAATAAAAGTGCTAAAACCAGAGGCATGGTTGGAGAGCTAGGCCGACGGAGTGGCGAATATAAACACTTTTCTAGTGCAGGAACCTTGATTCTCAATCTATTTTTAAACTTGATTTGGTCGCTTTAAAACGATCAGTGATCCTTCCATTGGTCAAGCCTGGTGCTTTAGCTTCAGATTGAATGGAGTGCCCGAAAAGTAATGCTGCTATTTATCTGTAATTAGACCTGAGAGACTGAAGGGCCAGCCTTCATGAATCACTTATAGCTTCATACCACTTCTTTCAAGTACTTCTTTCAAGTGCTGCGATTCTAGAGGTGGTTCTTGAAGTCCTGTCCTTCCATCTCCTGGGTGTAATTACCAGTTAACTAACTGTGAACTTACATGCAATTCTGGCATTCATTTTCCAAGTATCTTGGCATGTGTATATACAGTGACCAACTGGATATTTTTACTGGTTTTAGAGGTTGGCACCATTTTCTTTTCTAGTGGTATGATTCATTGTTTTTTTAATCGCATTGAGGCCTCGTGTTCCACATCTATAGCTGCACAAATTTGGAAAATTTCCATTAGCAGTAATGAACACTTATAGATGTGAACCCAATTACCTAAATCTCATACAAGTTTTAACATGTTAAAGTGGAACTACACTGCATCTGAGCGCCACAAACCAAATACACTATAACTCATTTTTCATATTCAACGCAAACTCCCCCATCACCCGTGTCTCCATGCTTTATTTTGCTGAGAAATCACTTTGAAAAATGCCCCCTTAGTATGTCTGTCTATGGCCATCTTGAGTAAGGGCAGATGAGTCATGTAGCATTTACTTCCTGGGGTTCATCTGCCCTTAGTTTGGCCATTCAAGCAGGAGGGAGTGTTTACCTGAGAATCCTCCTTCTCCCCTCCTGAAGACTTCAGGGATGTATGACATCTAGGCCAGAAACCAGGAGGTAACTGAAAAAAATGTAGAAAAAAAGAGTAAATGGATAGAACGCTATAGTATATATACTGGTTTTGAACAAACGCTAGCGGCATAGGGATTAAAAATAGTCAATATCGACTGAGTGAACTTTCACTTTAAGGTCATTTCAAAGGGCATTTCCGATATTTTTACATTTGTAGCTTTCAGTAAAATACCTGGTGATCTGCCATGAAGGTCTTTGCTAAGTGACTTGGATTACTGTAAATATTTTATTCTATGGTTTGTCTTGTTTAAAAGGATTATGATTCTGATGAAAAGAAAAGTTACTTACAAATGGGGAGAGGTTGTGTTTTGTTTTTTTTTTTTTTTTTTTTTTTTTTTTTTTTTTTTTTTTTTTTTTTTTGCAATGCTAGTATTTGAAAAATGTAAGTGTTTATTTCCAGTGTTGTCAGCTAAGAATGGAAGTACAAAGTTGCACATAAGAAATGGTACAGCTTTAGGCTAATGTGGCATTCTGAGGCACTTACCATCAGCTATGCTTTAACCTGTCTCTTCCCCTCTCTCCCTTCCCCCTTTTTTTGTTTTTTTTGCTTTGTATCCTTCATTTTTGGTTACCCCAGAGTCCCTACCCCCCTCTTTCTGTTATGTTGAATTGCCCCCTCCTGGATGGATACAGAACCCTGATCTTCTCCCAGCCTGGCATGTTATTCTTTCTTGTACAACTCCTTTGATTATGGACTCATGGACCAGCGGTGTCCTATGTGTTTATGGGAATGTTTTTCGTACTGGTATTGATAGGGACAGTATGGCTGCATTCTGTGCAACCTCTCTGTTCATGTACTACGTTTTTGTATTTTTGTAAACTTTCAATAAAAAAATTTATTGAACCAGGAATGGTACAATATCCAAACAAATTCCAAGAATTGCAGTATACAGTGTGTAACATGGACAGTGCACCTTGTAGAGATACCACCATACAACACATAGAGAGGTAAGTACGTAAAGGGCACAACCATCCCACATCATGAAGTAACAATTTAAATGAATAGATGGTCAGATGTTGTCTTGGTAGATGACTTAACAAATCAAAAAGAATTAAACCTGGAGAAAAAGATGTGAATTAGTACACAGAGGTTACACGAGGTTCTGAGCACATGACCGGATGCCTTCATCCAGGGTAGATAATGATATGACCTAGGTTAACGGAGCATAAAGTATAGATAAAGCTGAAATGTTAAAGAGATAAACAAAAAAAAATCAGCATGAAAATGTTTAGTGGAGAAGGGAAAGAGTTAATGGGGGCTGATTAGTGTATGGTTTATAGGGTGTTACACATGAACAAATGATCTTTTTACAAAAAAAGTTGCTTTTAACTAACATTCAGACTGAAGCTCATCATTTTGATCTGCAGATGAATGAAAGAGTAGATACAAAAGTAGCAATACTTTGCATCTTTCAATCTCACATATAAACAGTGTTTATAAACATTGTCAGATGGTCATTTTATAAACATTGTCAGATGGTCATTTTTTGACAGCAGCAGCTTATACAGCTGCTGTATTTGAACAGCAATTCTTGGCAGCCATTGTGACAGCTGATAATTGCATGTAAGTGAGAGGATAGGAACAGCAGTGGGGCAGGACAGGGCATACCTTGTGTACTCTAAGTGTTTTTGAGTGTGTGTGGCACATTCAGCGTCCACAGCTGGCTAACCTTGCCACCCTAGATTAGCCCTGAATGCCCCAGTCCTTACCTAAATGTCTGTTTGCAGTCGGGATCAGAGCATTTATGACTTCACCTAAACAATGCATAGTCAAGGTTCTCAGACTTTGAATATATTTTGAGTTGTCGCCCATTAATAAAAGTCCAATCAAGGATTTTTTGCTAGTGTACTTTGTATTATTTTCTACTGGTATGCTGATTTGTGTTTGTTCTTGTATTGCAGGACGAGTTGGACAAGCCGTAGCACTGCGAGCGAAGACGTTCGGTTTCAATGTAATATTCTACGACCCATATTTACCAGATGGAATAGAACGCGCACTTGGCCTCCAACGGGTCAGCACCCTCCAGGACCTTCTGTTTCATAGTGACTGTGTAACTCTGCACTGCAGCTTAAATGAGCACAACCATCACCTTATCAATGACTTCACCATTAAACAGGTGAGTTACAATCACACGTTGGAGTTGGTCGAGTCCTCATCTTGTGAAGACCTGAAAGAGTAACCCTCCTCTCACTGTATGCAGTTCTGTACAATGTGTGTTTTGATGGAAGCTTATTCTGGTGCCATTTTACTGGCAAAACCAATGTTTTACCCATCGATTCATTAGTTAGCAGTGACTTCAATATGGCAGGTGGCATATTGGAGATGGAACAACAAAAAGGAAGATAGAGAATCGCAGGGTTTTTGGGTTTTTTTATGGAAACTTATGCTTTGATTAATTTGAAGGCTGTAATTGCTATCCTCTGCTTTTGAAAATGTTACCTGACAATCTAATGGCTTCATTATGCTGAGTCACTGACCAGGAACAAGTTTGAAAAGAAAGAGCCCTGGTTTCAATGGCCTTTGACCTATTTCGGGTAAATTAATTGGAAAGCATTGAAGTCAAAGGATCAACATGACTGGCAGAAAACTACATCTTTACAATGAAGTCAGCATTGCTAGTTTCCATTGTATTTTCTTCTCGGGACTAGTTTGCTTTAAAATGTATCTAAAGCCAAAACATTTAAAGGATCACCTTTTCTTCACCCTTTTTTTCGTTTTTCTAACTTCCAGCTTCTCTATGTACCTATATAGCAATAATGTACTACTTTTGCAGAAATTCAAATGCTTTCCATTCATTCTACCCACCTTTTGTCAGTGTCCAGATGGCTGTACAAAAAAAGCTTCTCCATTACTTGTGCTTTATTTCCTGCAGAGACTTCACACCCTGGTCACATCAAAACCAAATTTGAAATTGTGTGTGAAGTCGCACTTTTTCAAAAGCCGGGTGACTTGCTGATTTGAGGTGCGATTTACAAGACATCTGACACAGATGTCTATGCAAATCACACCAAAAGTAGTGCATGTACTACTTTAGAAATCAGTGCGGCTCCGTCCAAGTCAGAACCGTACCGATATGACCGCTTTTAATAGCGGACAATAAGGTTGCAACTTGGCATACGATTTGCAAGTTGCATGGCATGCAAATCGCATGCCAAGTCGCACCCGATTGGACCAGGGTGTTAGGGTCATGACACAGCAAGGAGTTGACCAGCTGACTTTATTAGCACACCCCCTGCATCATCTACCCTCTTACCTCCTACCCACTTCCAGGGGCACGAGTATTAAATGAAATGCAATCAGTCAGAGATCACTGTTCTCACTAAATATGCTGATAACGACTTTTTTTTTTCTACCTTAACTTTCATCTTGCATAGATCATTCAATTGGCAATATGTGATGATAGATCATATAACAGCCTATATGGATAGAGCTGTAGTATTGAAAACAGTGGGTGGGAAGTAAGAAGGTAGATGATGCAGGGTGTGTTCCTGTGTCATGACCTAAAGGCTCTGCAGGAAATAAAGCAGAAGTAATGAAACTTTTTTGGACAACCATCTGGCCACTGACATAAAGGTGGGTAGAAAAAATGGAAAGCTTTTGAATTTCTGTAAAAGTACAATAATGCTACATTGGTACATAGGGGAGGTGAAATTTAGAAAAAAAAGTGAACAAAGATGAACTCATCCTTTTAAGGCAGTAATGGTCAACTTACTTTATATAGAGGGCCTTAAGTGTGGTCTAACATCCAAAAGACTGCACATAATAATCAGTAGGTGTAATGCTACAGAAAGAGATCAGAGACTGAAGACTAGACACAGGAGACGGTCAAAGACTGGAAAAACATAATATAGATGTTTGTGGGGGTCAAGGAACATTTTTCATAGATTGGAGGCACATTATATGAAACTGCTAGAGAAAGCAATTAATAAAACCCCTTTTTACAAGTCGGCTTTTCCACATGCAGTGGGGAAAATAATTATTTGATCCCCTGCAGATGTAAATTTGCCCACTTACAGAGAAATGAAGGGTCTATAATTTTTATCATAGGTTTATTTTAAATGATAGACAGAATATCAACCAAAATTCCAGAACAAAAACGATACAAATGTTATAAATGTTATAAATTGAGTTGCAGTTCAGTGAGTAAAAGTATTTGATCCCCAAGAAAAACATGACTATCTTGGTGGAGAAACCCTTGTTGGCAATCACAGAGGTGAGATGTTTCTTGCTGTTGGTTACCAGGTTTTAATAATAAATAATCACTATTAATCCCCAATTTCTATTAAAGCACACTTCACCCCTACCCTTAGAGGTGTACAAATATAAACAATGATATGCTCAGTGATAAATAAATAACATAAATCCTTTCCTCAAATCTATGAATGTAATAAAGTCCCAAAATAAATCAAAAATCAAAAAAATCTCACAAATATCATATGTCCCTTTTAAAAAAAAAAATCAATAAATAAATAAATCCAAGTGTCCAAAGTTTGATTCAAATCCTCAGCCTCTTGCAGCAACTTGATTTACCTCAAAAACAAAAACATAAAAACCACATAGTGCATTATCCTTAATAAAGTAAATTAATATATGAAAACCATCCAGTGATATTTCACCCAAGTGAAAAAAAGTGTATACATAAAAATAAAAATATATACAAGCACATGTGCATATACACAATGTATAGTGAAAAACCGTGTATGTGAATCACTCTTTTTGTGCTCAAAAATCACACGCCACAGTGTGCACTTCTACTGAAGGAGTGAATACCCTTACCAATATTCAAAGTAACTTTTGCCTTAATAATAATCACCAAGAAGACTGTATGATGGGATGAATCTTTCTGCCAGTATCCCCAAATTTCACTCTGAACTCATAGCACCATATGGATCCATCCACACTAGTATTTCAGACCAATTTCCACCATATCTGCCGTCCAGATACCCATATATGAAACAGAAAATAGTGTAATACTGCCACACACTAAAATCCAGAAATTTTAATGGTACTGCTTACATTGTTAAAATCTTGTTTATCACATGAAATATATAGAAAAACCTTTCTGCCATCACAGATCCAAGACAGTCCAAACCGCCTATGACAGTCAATATTCCCCTCTCCAAGATGGCCGCCGCTCCACTTCCGGTTCCTCGTTTGCGTCTGACGTCACTTCCCTTTGACGCGTTTCGTCATTGGACGAAATAGTATTACACTATTTTCACTATTTTCTGTTTCATATATGGGTTTCTGGACGGCGGATATGGTGGAAATTGGTCTGAAATACTAGTGTGGATGGATCCATATGGTGCTATGAGTTCAGAGTGAAATTTGAGGATACTGGCAGAAAGATTCATCCCATCATACAGTCGTCTTGGTGATTGTTATTAAGGCAAAAGTTACTTTGAATATTGGTAAGGGTATTCACTCCTTCAGTAGAAGTGCACACTGTGGCGTGTGATTTTTGAGCACAAAAAGAGTGATTCACATACACGGTTTTTCACTATACATTGTGTATATGCACATGTGCTTGTATATATTTTTATTTTTATGTATACACTTTTTTTCACTTGGGTGAAATATCACTGGATGGTTTTCATATATTAATTTACTTTATTAAGGATAATGCACTATGTGGTTTTTATGTTTTTGTTTTTGAGGTAAATCAAGTTGCTGCAAGAGGCTGAGGATTTGAATCAAACTTTGGACACTTGGATGGATTTATTTATTGATTTTTTTTAAAAGGGACATATGATATTTGTGAAATTTTTTTGATTTGATTTATTTTGGGACTTTATTACATTCATAGATTTGAGGAAAGGATTTATGTTATTTATTTATCACTGAGCATATCATTTTTATATGGTTACCAGGTTTGCACACATCTCCGGAGGGATTTTGGTCCACTGTTCTTTACAGATCTCCTCTAAATCCTTAAGGTGTCTTGGTTGTCGCTTGGCAACTCGGAAGTTTCAGCTCCCTCCATAAATTTTCTATAGGTTTAAGATCTGGAGACTGGCTAGGCCACTCCAGGACCTTAATGTGCTTCTTCTTGAGCCACTCCTTTGTTGCCTTGACAGTATTTTTTGGGTCATTGTCATGCTGGAAGACGCATCCAAGAGGGAATAATGTTCTCATCCAAGACTTTACAATACATGGCCCAGTCCATTGACCCCTCAATACAGCAAAGTCAGCCTGTACATTTAGCAAAGAAAAGCCCCAAATCCTAATGTTTCCACCTCCATGCTTGACTGTAGGGATGGTGTTCTTAGGGTCATAGTCAGCATTTTTCTTCCTTTCTGACCACAGAACTTTCTCCCAATCCTTCTCTGAATCATTTTAGATGTTCATTTGCAAACTTCAGCCGGGCCTTTACATGTGCTTTCTTGAGGGGGACCTTGCGGGCGCTCCAGGAATTCAGTCCATGGTGGCGTATTGTGTTACCAATGGTAACATTTAACAAGTTGTCATGTGAGCACCTTCTTAAATTGACCGGACTAATCTGTGTACCACATTGTTGGGTGGTAGGGGATCAAATACTTATCTTACTCACTGAACTGCAATTCAATTTCTAACATTAGTATCATATGTTTTTTTCTGGATTTTTGGTTGATATTCTGTTTCTATTATTTAAAATACACCTATGATAAAAATTATAGGCCCTTCATTTCTTTGTAAGTGGGCAAATGTACAAAATCTGAAGGGGATCAAATAATTATTTTCCCCACTGTATGTGCTCCTTACAGCCCTCCTTAAAATTAAATTTTACACCAGTACAAACAAATGGCAACCACCCCAACCTATAACTGGCCTTTGCAGCAAGGAGCACATGGAGCTGCATGTCATAAAACAGGTAACAATTCCTAGCTGACTTGCCAGCCAGCCTGCAACAAATCAAATTGACCTTGTTTACCAGTTCACAATAAACCAAGGGGTTTAGTTTGAAAACATTTGCAAAATAGATGTGTAAGCTGCAGCAGCCACGTCACAGCACCCCATTGTACTACAGTCCTAACGCTATCATTTTTAGAGTCTCCTGAGTTGGAGAACCTGTATAATGGATAGATTAAGGGCAGGTATGCCTGGGGGGATGCCACCCTCCCTAATGGCATAGGGACA